ATGAAAAATAAACAGAGACACTACGATGATACTCTTAGTGTTATTGGCCTAGTGCAAGCAGGCCTTGCGGACTGGCTCGCGACGTCATCTACGCTCCGTTTAAACGCGTTCTGATTGGTCGCATTACTGCAACTTCAACCTTGATTATCTCGAAATGTTGATATATGAAATAAAAAATGAAAATACACGTATTCATTAGAATTTGACAAGGAATGCAACGGTGTTACTACAGTGCGTTTCATAATGAACACTCTGTATATACAAAAGTAGGTTTAACGTGTAAAGGCTTATTAATTAAACTGAGGATTTGTGTCTAGGAGATGAGCCGCATGTAAAAGGACATTCTTTTAAATCTACCTAGCTTCCAATGATACACCGTAAGTGGCAGATACGTGTCGAGCGTGCGCTCGTCACATCGCTGTTATGTCCTGGAGCTGGTTACCCACCTTGAAGTTCCTCGCTGATTGGCTGTTCAGGACCGTGAGTTTCGTCAGGGATTCGCTGCTGTATTGACGGTATACTGTATTCTTCGTGTAAAAATCTACGGCGATGAACACGAAGACTCCAAAATCTACGGCGAGGAACACGAAGACTCAAATATCCACATCCAGGAACACCAAGACCCCAAAATCTACGTTCAGGATCACGGAAATCTACAGCAGGAATACTTCGCCTTTCAACTCGTAATAAAAAAATAGCATTGTAATATGTTTTAGCCACCTTGTACGGGTTTGCGTCTGACTGAACGCTTACCTCAAAACAATTGCGAGCCGTGAGTTCGGCGTGAAGCTGCTGCACGAAGCTAAGGCATTCCGCCAATATCAGAAATTTGTCAAAAAATGATAAAATTTCGAACGCAAATATCTCCCTTATTATGTGTGCAATCCGTCAAATTTTCTTTTCATTTCTATTATTTTTTCATGTCTCTACAACTTGTGCATTTCACTTTTTTCAATATCATTTGAAATGGCGAAGATAATTTTTTTTATTTGCGACCGGAAGTTGAGCGAACAATAATAATATGCCCATTCGATGCGCAGTCAAAAAATATTCAATGATAATCACATCACATTTTCGAAATTGTGCACCGTTTTACCGCAAATCTCAAACGTGCATCTCACTGATACACTCTGTATACATATATCGCGTTAGTGTTATAACCCACCGATCACATGGCGTTGCTGCTGGTGCTAACAGTGTAAAGCACGGAAGTGTCGTGTCTCCAATAAATGGTCTGTGACTCGGCCCAGAGATGAGTGGGGAGATGCACAACGCTACGGTTTTAGGCGATACCAAAAGCATGGCGCTAAATCGTAGCGAAGAGTCCGGGAGTAGGATTTCGTGACCATCTCCTCTGTCGATGTTACAGATTTCGCGTAGCCGTGCGGGTCATGATCATCGTTCCAGCCGATATTGCAGTCAGCGAAAATGGATGGATTGCTCGGTGGTGGGGAACAAGTTGCCGCCCCTCACAAACCGTTCTTGACAAACAGGCGGGGCAGCAAGGTCTTCCGTCCAACCGAACCCTAAACATTTGTATTGACGTAATGCGCAAACAAATGTGTATATTCAAATAAATTTCAAAGTTATAAAAAATGCATAGAAATATTGGTTTTCACTCTTTACCTCTTATCATGCCGAAAATGAACATTAAAAAATGAATGGCGAAATTCGTTGGTAAATGAAACGACCGAGAACAGTTCAAAGAGAAATTTTGAAATATCATAGATAAATATCTATAGAAAATTTAATTTAGTATTAAACGAGCATCGTGGCGGAGCCAATAACCTGTCAAGATACAACACTGCTAGTTACGGGTTCGATCCCCCATGAAGAACTCTTTTTTCATCTTTTTTTTTCATTTTACTACAAAAATTATCCAAGGTTCCTCTCTTTTAACCTTTCTAGGTTGCCCAAACTTTATTTTAAGTTTATATAGAATATTTTTAAAAAAAGGTCATCGGGATCGAACCCGTACTGTCTGAATTGCGAGCCGGCACACAAAACGCCGTTTTGGCGTTTTTTTTCTTACAATTTTAATTTATTAATATTGTCAGGAGAAAAATAAAAACTCATTCATGTATTCCGTGATTTCAACACTTATTTATAAACATTTTATCTATGACAGAATCGACTAATATTTTAATCGCCCGCTCGTCTCTCACGACCGGCGAGTTGAGCGGTTGTGTGTTCTCTGTCGCTGTTGCTGTTAATGCTGCTGTAAACTTTATTTTAAGTTTATATATATTTTTTTAAATTTTATCTATGACAGAATCGACTAACATTTTAAATGCCCGCTCGTGCCGCGCGACCTGAGCGATTGCGGATTCTCTCTCGCTGAGGGGTCTGCTATTGCTGTTACTGCTGCCGCTGGTTCTTATAATCTTATAAACACTTTTTTATTTGCAATCCTCAGTTGCAGCGCCCAGTGTAAACTCAATAAGATTTACTATGAGAAAATAATTAGCTCACTTCATTACCTGGAATCAATAATCTTGAGAAGCAAATATGGAAATGAGCATTATCTCTGTCGATAATGTTTCGTCCACGTGGAGAAGGGTGGCGCGAGAGTTCTTAACTGGTGTGCATCTTCATATTATTCTGCTTATATGTAAAGTAAGCGAAACGACAATAGTAAGCAGTTGAATAAACGATGGAATTCTAGAAATACAACTTCAGAAAGAAGTAAAACAAACAGGTGTTTCTGGCGTCTGGCTAGTGCACCTGGTTACGAATCGGGAGGTCTATGGTTCGAGACCCCTTTATGGAGAGCACTTTCTTTTTACAAAAAAAATGTGCTTTTGCAAATGGGATTAACCCGGGATCGAACCCGTAACTAGCAGTGTTGTATCTTGACAGGTTATTGACTCAGCCACGATGCTCGTTTAATTCTAAATTAAATTTTGTATAGATATTTATCTATGATATTTCAAAATTTCTCTTTGAACTGTTCTCGGTCGTTTCATTTACCAACGAATTTCGCCATTCATTTTTTAATGTTCATTTTCGGCATGATAAGAGGTAAAGAGTGAAAACCAATATTTCTATGCATTTTTTATAACTTTGAAATTTATTTGAATATACACATTTGTTTGCGCATTACGTCAATACAAATGTTTAGGGTTCGGTTGGACGGAAGACCTTGCTGCCCCGCCTGTTTGTCAAGAACGGTTTGTGAGGGGCGGCAACATTTTCCCCACCACTGAGCAATCCATTCATTTAACTGAGTGCAATACCGGCTGGAACGATAATCATGACCCGCGCGGCTACGCGAAATCTGTAACATCGACAGAGGCGATGATGACGAAATCCTACTCCTGGACTCGCCGCTACGATTTAGCGCCATGCTTTTGGTATCGCCTAAAACTGGAGCGTTGTGCATCTCCCCACTCATCTCTGTATAGACTGTTAGCACGAGCAGCAACGCTATCTTATCGGTAGGTTATACCACTAATGCGATATACACTACCGGTCAAAAGTTTAGGTTCACTTCGCTTTCTTTGTAACGCTCCCATGACTGCAGTTTGAGAAACATCACATTTAGAAGCAATTTTCCGCGTTGTATAACCTTCTTCGTGTAATGCCACAATGACTGCTCGTGTCTCTACACTCAGCTCTGCTTTTCGACCCATTTCTCTACGATTGACACATAAAATATGTAGTTTTCTTCACATTTCAATATCGCGATGATATTTGTCGAATTACGTCAATTTAAATATAAATTTTTCTTTAACAGTAACGATTTTTAATATGAAGAATGTTCTACTTACCTTTTTGTAAAGAAAAATATGAAAAACAATTGGAAATATAACTTTTGGAAAGAGCTATCAAGCAGTAAGGTGTTACGTGTTATATGCACTAGACGCATCGAGAGAATGCAATCTGTCATAACAAGTTTGTGCTCGATCTACGCGTCTCCCAAACAAGCCAAACTCCCTCCTACACTCTGACCAATAGCGTGTAATCGACTTGTTATAGGTAAGACGCACGTGCTTGACAAAATTCACTGAGTAGCCGACTTAATTGTGTAGAATTCAAAAATAAAGGAAGTGAACTTAAACTTTTGACCGGTAGTGTATCAAGAGACTCGGTCGAGTCTCGCGCCAAGTACAGACAACCGGCTGTACAGGGCGCAGCGCGCCGAGACTCTTTACTCGAGTCAACTCCTTATACCTGTGTTTGGAACGAAATATCTTATGAACCGCTATATATGAGGAAAAGTTATTGATACATTCACTATAGGAATTGAAGGTTCTGAAGCGATTGCCACCAAGTTCAATACGATTAGTGTACGAGATCAGGGCGTATTGAAATGGCGAGCGAGATGATTTTATTTCAGTTCCGTCGTCGTCGTCGTCATCGTCGTCGTCTTCGCACATCCATCGCATTTTTTACACGACAGATGGCGCCGACTGCTTTGCCTTCTTTACCTATTTGTACTCTGGATGGGTTGGTAATCAAGATATTTTAGGTGACAATTTTTAGAGATATGGGATTTCCAGATGCTCCTCTCGATAGTTTTCTGTATCTAAGAGTTGGGCGTGGAAGTCCAAGGTGTCCAGGTGTTCTGGTCCGTAGTGTCTTGTATCTAGATGTCGGGCGTGGAAGTCCAGGGTGTCCAGGTTTTCCGCTCCGTAGTTTCTTGTATGTAGGTGTCAGATGTGAAAGTTCAGAGTGTTCAGGTTTTCCTCTCCGTAGTTTCTTGTATCTAGATATCGGATATCCAGGGTGTTCAGGTGTTACGCTTCGTAGTTTCTTGTATCTAGGTGTTAGATGTGGAAGTTCAGAGTGTTCAAGTGTCCCTCTGCATAATTTTCTGTGTTTAGGTTTCCCGTTCTGAATCGATCGGCACCAAGATCTATACAATTGCTGTACGAGATCAAGGCATATTGAAATAGCAGAGAAGATGATTTTAATTCAGTTCAGTCATCGTCGTCGTCTTCGTACCTCTAACTAAGGTCCTTGACGGTCGGTCATCGTATTGTGGTAAACGCGGATTAGCCGTGTTACGATTTTTGGCTTTGAATTTGTACGGTACGCGAAGTACCCGTTAATATTCTGATTGTACTTCTGTTTTTGTCTTCTTTTGATTTATTTGAATTCTGTTTTCTTTTATAACTAATCACTTTGGTCCTGTACGAAATCGTCGCGCGTCGCGCCGCCGATTTTCTCTAATAAACCGAACCTTTTTATTTTAGATCCGAATAGTGTCCTTTTTATTTAGTGTCCGAATGATTTTGTGTGTCGCGTGATCGTCTGACCCATCCGACCTATTGTTCCGAATCCCGACGCCTCCGCATAGCTGAGTTAGCCAACGTAGGCACGAAAAGACGAATCGTAGAAATTGATACGTGGTTCTCGTTCTGGAACTTGATGCCCAACAATACCTTTGGTATTTCGAGAGTACAATTTGTTAGCCTCTGGGTTGCCTGGAACGCGTAGGAATCGCGTAAAGTTGTGCGCCGGTCGGTCTTGCATTTTCCGGTGAGGTCGATCGCGTAAAAGTACGTCACACTATATATACCCCTCTATACCTATATCCCCCAAAAAACACTTACGTGTAAAAAACTACGCCAAGTACAGGATTGCTGTGAATTCCTCTAACAAAAAGTATTGATATCATATTATTGAGGCCAAGTACATAAGTCACTACATGTTTTCCTATTATATGATCTAGCACTGGCCCATCATTTTAATTTTATTTTCAATATTTCCTATAAAGTTTTCGCTACACTTTTATGTTACTGCTGCTTCCCGTATTTAATTATGATTTAATGGTTATTTAGTGATTATTAAAACTTTAGGTGATTCCTTATCGAGTACTACTTGGCAGGTCCGTGCCAGGAATTCCAAATTACTTACTTTGCAAGTGCTCATAGTATTTTAATGCTGTATGTTTGTTATTAAGCTTTTACCGTGATTATTTTTGACGAGTTATTGTTAATATGCTTTCTATAGAAAATTGGTACTGGTTTTGTACCAAATTTATATCAAGAAATGCACGGACCCGCCAAGTAGTACTCGATAAGGAATCACCTAAAGTTTTATTAATTATTAAATCACCATTAAATCATAATTAAATACGGGAAGCAGCAGTAACATAAAAAAGTAGCGAAAACGTTATAGGAAATATTGAAAATATAATTAAAATGATGGGCCAGTGCTAGATCATATAATAGGAAAACATGTAGTGACTTATGTACTTGGCCTCAAAGATATGATATCAATATTTTTTGTTAGAGGAATTCACAGCAATCCTGTGCTTGGCGTAGTTTTTTACACGTAAGTGTTTTTTGGGGGATATAGGTATAGAGGGGTATATATAGTGTGACGTACTTTTACGCGATCGACCTCACCGGAAAATGCAAGACCGACCGGCGCACAACTTTACGCGATTCCTACGCGTTCCAGGCAACCCAGAGGCTAACAAATTGTACTCTCGAAATACCAAAGGTATTGTTGGGCATCAAGTTCCAGAACGAGAACCACGTATCAATTTCTACGATTCGTCTTTTCGTGCCTACGTTGGCTAACTCAGCTATGCGGAGGCGTCGGGATTCGGAACAATAGGTCGGATGGGTCAGACGATCACGCGACACACAAAATCATTCGGACACTAAATAAAAAGGACACTATTCGGATCTAAAATAAAAAGGTTCGGTTTATTAGAGAAAATCGGCGGCGCGACGCGCGACGATTTCGTACAGGACCAAAGTGATTAGTTATAAAAGAAAACAGAATTCAAATAAATCAAAAGAAGACAAAAACAGAAGTACAATCAGAATATTAACGGGTACTTCGCGTACCGTACAAATTCAAAGCCAAAAATCGTAACACGGCTAATCCGCGTTTACCACAATACGATGACCGACCGTCAAGGACCTGTACGCGTTCTACGCGTTACATAATCAAAAGGTATAAATGCCTGACGGGCGGCACGACAGGAAACAATTGAGAGAACGTACAAATTTCTAATCCAAAAATAATATGTCAAACGAAATGTACACAGTGAACCCTGTCGGTCGACGGACCTTCGTGCCGTGGTCTTATTCGAGGTGAGGGATTGTCCTTCCGCGTGTTCGTTACACGCGCAGTCAAAAATCACGAAACAATCAAAACTCCAGTACCACGATTTACACGAAGTTACGTTGCTCACAAAAACGTCAAATGCAACTCGCTTACCGTGGTGTTCCCTGGTCGCGTAATCCAAGAAAACCAAATCGTCAGCCCAATAGCGCTCAGTGCACTCGCGTACTCACAAATCAAATCAAAACGTCTAACGTCGTCGTGTGTCCAAGCAGGAATCTCATCTTCACGCGCTTTGTCTTCGCGTGAAGGATAGCACCACCTCCCCTTAGGCTAATGGGCGGCGATTCGTCCTGCGGATGAATCCTTCAACTCAAACTTTTCGCCGCGCGCTAGTTTCGAATCTGTCATCGCGACAATTCATAATTTCCATAATTTCTCGTGGACAGTTCATACAAGATCAGGTCCTATGAAGAGTATCAGTCGTTCTCGCGTCAGGGTGCACCAGGCGTCCCTGGATTCCCAACTCGCGGAAATATAATTATGCGCAACTGACGATGGGCGCTATGACATAGGGGTCGGTAGTGGTGCTCATTCGTGTGGCGCTGTGTGCGCCGTTTCCAGTTGTCGTGGTTGAGTACCAGCTGAGTAGAGCGCGTTGTCGTCAAGCTGTCCCGCGTTGCGCGCGTCTCCTGGGTCAGTAGAGCTGCTCGGTGGCGCTGTGTACGCCGCTTCCAGTCGTCGTGGTTGAGTACCAGCGGAGTAGAGCGCGTTGCTGCCGCGTGACGTCAAGCTGTCCCGCGTTGCGCGCGCCTCCTGGGCCAGTAGAGCTGCTGTCCGCAGATAGCGCGACTGTCGACCCTCGCGTGTCGCAGCTCCCTTCCTCCTGGAACTCCAGCTGGCTCTCCCTCTCTCTTTCTCCACGTCTTCACGGGCACGGCGAGCGAGCAACCTATTCGAACTCCGGTAGAGTACACGCAAACAAAAGAGAAATAATGAAATAATCCGTCGTCATTTTAATTAGACCCTTGCGGTCGGTGGACTTTGCTATGGCCTTTAGACCCATATCGCGTTTCGGCGTGATTTTCCGCCGAGGACCAGACGGGTGAAATCCACCACGTCACAATAGATACAGAGATGAGTAGGGAGATTGCCAATGAGCCTGTTTTTGGTGATGGCAATTTTTCTTTGGTTTCGGCGCGCCACCTTAGCGGAGGGCCCTCGAAGCAGTTCACCTTTTTTGATTGGTCGTGTATATATAGTAATACTACGCGTGATAATCTGGAGCTGTGTTGTGGTGCGTCGACGCGCCACCTGAACGAGCCTCTCGAACTAGTTCCACATTTTTGATTGGTCGAATGAATTCGTGTGTTCCTCGAGATCCACGATTTTAAACCGGGTGAACACTCAAATAGGGAGACTTGTATCCACCTTTTTTTTTACAGGGTATTACATAAACCGTTGTAATAAGGTAGTCAATACCCTTAATATCCATATGAAGCTCTGGAAATAATAGAGTAAGCAAATAAAACTTAAAAAAAACTCTCGAACGTGGGTAACTACAGAAATATAAGTTTGCTAAATTATATACCACAATGACTCGATGGCACACGTGCTTGCTGCTGAGTTAACGTCCGATAGCCTCGGGTTCGAAACTGACGTCTTACCTCTCTTTTTTTTTAATTATCAACTATGCTTATTGGTTTACCTAATTAACTGAAGTTTCATGAAATACATGATAATATTAATCTACAAATATTGTATTATATTACATCGTATACATCCAATAATTATTTTTTTTCTTAATTATCAACTATGCTTATTGGTTCACCTAGTTAACTTAAGATTCATTAAATATATGATTATATTAATCTACAAATATTGTATTATATTACATCGTATACATCCAATAAATTGGTACATGAATCAGCGAATGTTTCTTCTTCCCGAGAGCCTACCTGTGACAAACACTTATGGTACGCTGTTTCCTTTTTTAATAGCATAAATAA